TTGCGGGGGGGGGGGATGGAGGGGGGTTTGACGTGTTTGGAATGATGGCATTTGTCCTCCCAAGTCATTGCTACACGCGACGGAGCCCGGCCTTCCTGGCGCTGGGTGGACATCTGCCTGATGATGTGCAGGAGCAAATGAAGTCCTTGTTCTGCTGTGCTTACGCGCACAGCTTTTGCTTTACCTATTGAACTGTCTTCACCTCAGCCCACGAGTTCTCTTTTTCACCCTCTGATTCTCTCCCCCATCCCACCGCGGCGTGGTCTGAGCGAGCGGCTGTGTGGGGCTGAGCTGCTGGACGGGGTTCAACTGTGACACCCGCCTGGCAGAGGAAGGGAAGGCTGTGGATGTAGCTTTTCTGGATTTTAGCATGTCTTTTGACGCCATCCTTCACTGCCCCTTTCTGGACAAGCTGTCCAGCTGTGAGATGAGCGGGTACACAGTGCCCTGGGTGAGGAACCGGCCCAACGGCAGGGCTCGAGGGGTTGTAGTGAACGGGGCTGCATCTGGCTGGGGACGGGTCACCAGCGGTGCTCCTCAGGGCTCCATCCGCGGGCCAGTTCCGTTCAATGTGTCCATCAATTATCTGGACACAGGAGGTGGGTGCATCCTTAGCAAGTGTGCTGATGGTGCCATACCGGGAGGTGCTGTGGACTCGCTGGAGGCCTTGCAGAGGGATCTAGATAGATTGAAGCACCGGGCAATCATCAGTGGCATGGAATTTAACAAGTCCAAGTGCTGGATTCTGCACCTGGGATGGAGTGTCACCAGCCATCACAGGAGGGGATCACCCCGCTGTATTCAGCGTTGTGTGGCCTTCCTTCGAGTACTGTGCGCAGTCCTGGGCCCCGCAGCTTAAAAAGGATGTGAAGGTGCTGGAACGTGTCCGGAGGGCACCAAAGCTGGCGGAGGGGCCGGCGGGCACGGCCTGCGATGAGCAGCTGAGGGCTCTGGGTTGGCCTAGCCTGGAGAAGAGGAGGCTGAGGGGCGACCCCACTGAGGGGACGCGGAGAGGGAGGTGCTGAGCTCTTCTCCCCAGGACCCAGTGACGGGACGCGAGGGAATGGTTCAGAGCTGCGCCAGGGGAGGTCCAGGCTGGCCTTGAGGAAGCGTTTGTGTGCCGAGGGCGGTCCGACCCTGGAACAGGCTCCCTAGAGAGGCGGTCGATGCCCCACGCCTGCCAGTGTTTAAGAGGCATTTGGACAATGCTCCTCCAGCCTGTAACTTTTAGCCCTGAAGTGCTCAGGCCATTGGTAGATGATCGCACCGAGTCTCTTGCAACTAAAAAGGTCTGTTCCAGTGATGATTGTTATGGGCTGCAGTCACAAGTTAAGGACCATGGCGCCAGGCTTCCCTGGGAGCAATCCTGCTGGCACCTAAGGGCTGGCGACGAAGAGCACAGCACAAAGGATCCTGCCGCTCGCACGCTGCGCTGCTCGCTGGACTGTGCCTCTACAACTTCTTTCTTTTTGCCCCGCAACGTCCTGCAGGATGGAGGTAGCAGGGGCAGTCTCCCCCTCACCACCCCAGCGACCCAGACAAGCACCCAGGGCTGTCCCGCTGTAAGGACACGCAGAGTGGCTGAGGGTTCTCAGCTGCTGCTCAGCAGCCGGGCTGCAGGCAGCCCTGCCCTCCCCTCCCGCCAGCCAAGGACCTGCCTGCGGAGGCACCAGGATGGGTGTTAGCCTGCAAACGCACCATTTTCCCCCTTTGGTTAAGCACTGCTGCTAAAAAACAGTGAAAGTCCCTCAATTCTCCAGCGTTGAGAAGAGAGGTACTCAGGGCAAGAAAGAAAAGTGCTTTAACTCATGAAGTACCCACATAAAAAAAAAACAGCACTGAATTGCTGATTATTCTGATAATCCCTCTATCATAAGCAATATAATTGTGATTTTTATGGTCATCACATGTATATGCTAATACCACATACTTAAGATATAATAAAACACTGTATATAATAAGCAATATATGAATTGCTCATTGGTGAAGAGGCCACACCAGCAATGATTTCTCCCAATGAAGAGCCCCCTTGGAAGGCGCCTTTCTGCAAGGGGGATCCTTGAGCTGGTAATTGCTTTAAGGACCAAGGGATGATTACTTTATGTCATAAAAATGCTCTTTGCTGCTGCAGGTTAATAGTAAGTAGCTCTGCACTTTTTCCAAACACACTGGATTTCTTGAGAAGCGCAAGGTCACTCAGCTTCAGTCGCTCCCTCCTAGCAGGCAGGCTTGCTGCTTATTTTGCGTCCTGTAACCATTATGGATAGCCAGAGGAAGGTGCTCTCTTTGTTCGTGACTCTGCACTGCCCAACCACCCCCACTCCAGTTCTTCTGCCATGTTGTGGCCATCTACCACTGTCGGCTTGACAATGGTGTCTCCAGTAAGAGGGACAGGCTAAGAAACCACATGGTGAAAGCTGCTGTAGCTGCAAGCTGAAGCTTTCTTTTTTTGATTTTTCAGCCCATTTTCAGGATGCTGTAGCTCCACAAGTGAAGCTTAGGCTGCACTACCCTCTCAAGGTGATGGTCCAGGGGCACCTGCAGCCTTGTCCTCCAAACAAGGCTCAACATCACAAGCCTCTTCAGCTCACTCTCTGGCAGACACCAAAGGTGAAGCTCTTCATCTCAAAATTGCCCACAGCTGCTTCCATTGGAGCTTGCCTTAATCGTTAGGGTTTCATCATGCTCAGCTGGTACATTATCTATTTTTATTTTTTTTACTCTGGTCAGTATGCACAAACATGCCAACACAGAAACAGTGTGATGCCCATTAAATAGTTTTTATTTCTTCGGACATGAATTGCATTTCCACTTGTTTACAGTACTGTAAAGTGCAATGGTATTCATCTCCCCTCCTGTGCACATGTTCAAGTATTTAAAATGCCCAGAAAATGTTTTGTTTAATTTTTACAGCAGCTCAGTTATGGAGTTTTAGTCTGGCAAAGTACACCCAGATGTGCCTACAGGTTTGGGTCCTTCAATCTCCAATACTAACTGCTAGTGGAATGCATTTCCCCACGGCTTTAATCCACTTCCTCGATCGTTGGTCCGGAAGAAGCTCCACCAGACGGAGGAGCTCCCCCACCAGGGAACCCACCGGGCATCCCACCAGGCATGCCTCCTGCGCTCTGGTACAGCTTGGTGATGATGGGGTTGCACACCTTCTCCAGCTCCTTCTGCTGGTGCTCAAACTCCTCCTTCTCAGCCGTCTGAAAGAGACAAAAACCTGATTTAGAACTCCCTCCAACGACTCTTAGAACTTACAGAGCCCCTGGAGCAACAGGGCCTCATTGAAGGTTGGTTAGCAGCTAGCCAGCCCGAGTCCGGAGGACCTGAAAGCTGTATGCTGGCACACTGTGGTCGCTCAGACATCCAAGGAAGGTACTTGGACCAACACCAGTCTTTCGACTTCTGGTGGAAACTACGAATGGCTTTGGAATCACTTTCATCACAGCAACCAGTAGCTCTCCATCCTCTTGAGCCTTCTTTGTAGCTCAACGAGACACTAGGAAGCACACACTGACCAAACACAGAATACGACATACCTGGTTCTTGTCCAGCCAATTGATGATTTCATTGCATTTGTCCAGGATTTTCTGCTTGTCCTCGTCAGAGATCTTGCCCTGGAGCTTCTCATCTTCAACAGTAGCTTTCATGTTGAATGCGTAAGACTCCAAGGAGTTCTTAGAAGACACTTTGTCACGCTGCTTCTCATCTTCCGCTTTGTATTTCTCTGCTTCCTGAACCATGCGCTCAATGTCTTCCTTGCTCAGCCGGCCTGCGGAGCACAGCAGCATTTCAGACCATGATTTTCAGTCATTTTCAGCGGCATCTTGCCGCCTCCCACACATTACCAAGTGTACACTTCTGGGCAGGCAGGCCATACAAGAGGCCCATAAGCTATGAGGTACCCCCATCTTAAACCACTTCACTGGCCACCTTAGAATCTCATGGATTTCTGCGCTAACAACCAAGGCTCACGGTTGTCAATCAAGCAGCACACATTACAGCCAAGCTCTGACAAGAGATAAATGCCGAGTTCCACAAGCTGAACTTCAGCAGCTGTGCAGCTTCCCACCCTCAGAAACACATGGAATCTTACCCTTGTCATTTGTGATCGTGATCTTGTTCTCCTTGCCAGTGCTCTTATCCACAGCAGACACGTTCAGGATGCCATTGGCATCAATATCAAAGGTTACTTCAATCTGAGGTACACCTCTGGGAGCAGGGGGAATACCAGTCAGCTCAAACTTGCCCAGCAAGTTGTTGTCCTTGGTCATAGCACGCTCTCCTTCATACACCTAGTAAGAAGCAGCAGCCAATTAATTGTAAGTTTGACCACACATCGTTAAATCATAATGGGGTTTATTATCCTGAAGTGACATGGTCGCTCAGACATCCAAGGAAGGTACTTGGACCAACACCAGTCTTTCGACTTCTGGTGGAAACTACGAATGGCTTTGGAATCACTTTCATCACAGCAACCAGGTATTTACTAGCATGCCTTGTAACTGCAAGAACACACCTCTGGGCTAAGGTATCAACCACCAGGAAGTGCTGACAGGGTTCTTACGACGACTAACTCTGTGTTATCAGCTCACCCCAGGGCCGCCTGCCTACCTGGATCAGCACGCCAGGCTGGTTGTCAGAGTAAGTAGTGAATGTCTGAGTCTGCTTGGTGGGGATGGTGGTGTTCCGTTTGATCAGGACCGTCATGACACCTCCAGCGGTTTCAATACCAAGAGACAGGGGAGTCACGTCCAGCAGCAGCAGATCCTGCACGTTCTCAGACTTGTCTCCAGACAGAATAGCAGCCTGCACAGCTGGGGGAAGAGAAAAACCGTTAAGAGCCCTGCCACATACACACTGCACACGACAGTAAAGCCCATGGCTCGCTCAGACATCCAAGGAAGGTTTTGGCCATCATTAGTAGACTTCCGGTGGAAACTACGAATGGCTTTGGAACCTGATTCATCATTGCAAGACAAAGTTAAAACTTCTCACTGGTTTGAAAAGCTTTATTGATTCAGGTGGAAGACCTAGGGCCTACACCAGTACTGCTCCAAGACTTCAGCTCAGACAGCACTGAGTTTCCCCAAGAACACCACCCAGTTTTAGCACACAGAAGATACAAACTCTTGTCATTACCTGCACCATAAGCCACAGCTTCATCAGGGTTGATGCTCTTGTTCAGCTCTTTCCCGTTGAAGAAATCCTGCAGCAGTTTCTGAATCTTTGGGATACGAGTAGACCCACCAACCAGCACGATGTCATGGATCTGCGATTTGTCAAGTTTGGCATCCCGCAGGGCCTTCTCCACAGGATCCAGGGTGCCACGGAACAGGTCGGCGTTCAGCTCTTCAAAGCGAGCTCTGGTGATGGATGTGTAGAAGTCAATACCCTCATAGAGAGAATCAATTTCAATACTGGCCTGCGTGCTAGACGACAGAGTACGCTTTGCACGCTCGCATGCAGTGCGGAGGCGACGAACTGCTCGCTTGTTCTCACTGATGTCTTTTTTGTGCTTGCGCTTGAATTCAGCTATGAAGTGGTTGACCATGCGGTTGTCGAAGTCTTCTCCACCCAAGTGAGTGTCACCTGCAGTGGATTTCACCTCAAAGATGCCATCTTCAATAGTCAGAATTGACACATCAAAGGTGCCACCGCCAAGGTCAAAGATAAGCACATTCCTTTCAGCACCAACCTGAAAGAAGAGATTAATTTTCCTAGTGCAATTCCGTTCTCTACTACTGGTTTAGCAGGTTTACTGGTTGGGCATCAGACACAGTAGTCACTCCATAGCTTACCTTTTTGTCCAGACCATAGGCTATCGCAGCAGCTGTCGGCTCATTGATAATTCGCAGCACATTGAGCCCTGCAATGGTTCCAGCATCTTTTGTTGCCTGACGCTGAGAGTCATTGAAGTAGGCTGGTACAGTCACCACAGCATTAGTAACAGTCTACCAAAAAAGCAAACAAAAAGGCAGTTGTTTATGTCAACTACTCTTGTATACACAATTACTTATTACATTTCACTGAAGGCCTAAACCTCACCTTCCCAAGATATGCTTCTGCAATTTCCTTCATTTTGGTTAAAACCATGGAAGAGATTTCTTCTGGGTAGAAACTCTTTGTCTCGCCTTTGTACTCCACCTGGACTTTTGGTCTGCCAGCATCGTTCACCACAGTGAAAGGCCAGTGCTTCATATCAGACTGGACAACAGAATCATCAAATCTACGCCCAATCAACCGTTTTGCATCTGGAGAAAAACAGTTGGCCACATTAAACACATTTATTCACAACAAAGAACGTTAAATTCTTCCTAAAAGATAACACACAAAACCCTGTAAGACTACACTTAACCTGAAATTGTAACTGCCTTGTCAAAACCCAGCTGCAAGTCACTGCCAAGTTTTACCTCTTGGATACACACAACCTCCCCACCACCTCGCAGCCACCACAGAGCAAGGTTACCTAACACTGTCAGCAACGCCCTGCAGGCAGGCAGGCTTTTAGTTGTAAGGCACATACTTTCCTGGTAGGCAGTTAGTCCAGTTATATTCAAATTAACTGCAGGTTTTAATTCCTAAGAAAAAGCCTTAACCCTGCTATCAGTCGGTGATTCTTGTAAGCAGGGAGTACCCGCCACCACCGCGCTAAGCCTCTGTACAGGAGGCAGGCAAGCCTCGTGTCCGCACCTTGGTTTGTGGCGGCTGCGCCGTTCAGCCGCTCCGTGTCGGTGAAGGCGACGTAGCTGGGCGTGGTGCGGTTGCCCTGGTCGTTGGCGATGATCTCCACCTTGCCATGCTGGAACACGCCGACGCAGGAATAGGTGGTGCCAAGGTCGATCCCGACGGCTGGTCCCTTCGACATCTCGTCTGGGGAAGGCGGGAGGCCCTTCAGCTCCCGGCGGAGGGAGCCCCGGGCCAGCCCCGCACGCGTGCTGCGGCGC